GCATACCAGTTGATGTTTGTTTCGCAGGTGATCATGTGGAATGCCAGATGTGAACCTTCAGTGAAGCTAGCCAGGATGATTCGGACGGTCCAAAATATTTGTCTTGATGTTGGAATGGGACTAGAATTAAAGGAACCAACCGCAACTAGATTTACAGTAGTGACTGCTTCGCGGTGTGAAATTCTCCTAGTATGAATGAGCGTCATGTGGTGAGAGCATGAAAATTGCAGTCGATTGCTTTATCAGGGTACCTAACAAGCATCTCTGCCCATTCTTCTGTGAAGTATAGCCGCGAAAGTGACATTTCAACTTAGCCGCCCCCGACCCACAATTCCTTATCAAAGTGGTCGTTTTCCTCCTACTTTGCATGGACACATTGATCGGATCTCACCTAAAAATACATGTTAGGCAAAGTAACACGGCCTGTAACCCAGACTCCAATGCCGCAGATTGACTGAACGGTAGGATATTGTGTATGGTGGGATTTGAGGCAAAATTATGGCATAACTCAATGGGAACTATACGTGGTAAGTAATAAGGGGTGTCCCATACTCTGGAAGATGTTTTTAGACTTAATTTGGACTGGCCTAATCTGCGTTCACAGCTTTCAGCGTCCAAGATTATTTTGCGGTCCATTTGCTGACAAATCGTCATTGGTCCCTGTTGTGTTTTGCGCGGTGGCCGAGCTATGGGTTTACGCCTGCCAGACTACGCGAGCGGGAGAAGACAGAGAACTGCGGACACGGCTGTATTGCCAGGACAAAATATACAGAGCGTCTGCGTAAATATATAGGATGACTAATTGGTCAAATATGGTCGTTCACTTGTTCGCTTCGTACAGCCAATGGTGGTGTTTCGGTCGTGAACATTCTCAGGCCCACTACGCTAGTCGTGTGTTGCTAGGCCGTTTGGTGAGAGCCGCCAACTCACCTACTTTCCGGACGTGTCGTACCGATGGTGACCTTGGGGATGCGTCACTCTCTGCACATTTACTTTTTCTTCTGTCTGGGCGCGCCCTGACAGTCTCATATTCAGTTAACAGATGCTTCGGAAGACTTGCTGGGGAAGAAACAGATATTGTCTCAATAGTGTTTCACAATATATCACTAGTCCGTCCTCTGTCCCCCTCAGGATGACGTATAGGGAGTCCTATCCGAAAGGTTAGTGGTTCGACTTCATCCCCAACATCTTTAGTAACTTCGCCTAGTGCCAGCCAACCCGGCGATATCTCCGCGTCTATGGTTTCTACATCTGGCACTGCCTCTGAATCTTACAGTTGATCACTTTGGTTTGCTATGTTTACTGATGCTTTTCCGAGTGCAGTGAAACACACGCCTAATGTCTGCTTGTAATCGAGGTGGGAGGTTTACTCTCGCACCTGAATGTGGCCATCCGCATCTAAGGCGATACTGCAATTCCCAAAGTTCACCTAAGGTCTTTTTTGGTAACGCACTTTCCAGTCTCTAAATCCGGTTTGCATGGAACGGCACGCAGTTTTACTGATTGCCACTCCCTGTGATGTGACCCACTGTGTGTATTGCGTGTTTCATACCAGGTTTTTTCTGGTAGGAACTCAGGGCACTTCTTGTCTTTGCCAGCAGGGTGCCAGTGTATCGGTCGCTGTTGCACCAAACGAACCAACCAGTGAACCATGCGGTTTCCTCCCGTCTTCCCCCGCCTCCTCTTTGCTGCTCTGGTTAGTGGACGGTGGGAACGATTTTTCCACTCTACTGATGCACTTTATACCTTAACAACTCTGTGATTCGCTGGCAGGTTGTTTACGTACACGTCTGTCTACAACCATCGATCGTTGTGTTTGCGTCTTTCGCAGTTTGGTAGGATCTGCAAGCAAGGTGTTTGTACGATGGGTACATTGTTGTCGTAAACTTCCTGTCTAAAATTTCGGGGACATAGGCTTTGTCACATTTTGCAGTTACGCCTGCTGTGAGTCAATCAACTTACGGGGAGTAGGAACTAATTGG